GGCATGAGTCAGGGTTTCCTAAATTTTCCGTAAATAAAAATATTTAGGTGGCGACTCTATATCTAGCGAAGCAGTTCAAGTTTGGCATTATTTGATTTAAAATCGATTTTCCAAAAAGATTTGTCGGATTTGGACTTTTTGGTGTTTATCAGTTTCACATTGCACTTATGACGCTAGATTCAGAACCACGGGAGTCCGAATTGTGAGGCCTTCTTTTCAAACCTTTCTGAAAGGCGGGGCGTGAGAAAAGGCGAGTCCACAGCTTCCATCAGCTTCCTCCTTCAAATATAGTGCGTGCTCATATGGGCATTTTTGAAAACCATTGTCATGAAAATACTGATCAATTCTAGTATTCCATGCATGCGGAGTTTGTTTCAATCCATAAAGTGCTTTCTTCAATTTGTACACTTTGTCCTCATGCCCATTCTGAACATACCCCAAAGGTTGTTCAATATAGATTTCTTCTTCAAGAAAACCATTAGGAAATGTAGATTTCACATCAAGTTGATAAATTTGCCACTTGTGCTAGGCAGCCAAAGAAATCATTAGCCTAATAGTCTCCAACGGGGCAACTGGAGCAAACACCTCTCCATAATCAATTCCAGCTCTCTGCTTGTAACCTTTTGCCACTAACCTTGCCTTGTAGCGTTGCACTTCACCTTGTGCATTCTTCTTTGTCTTGTATACCCATTTCACTCCAATGGGTTTGTGCCCCTCCAGTAGATTGGTAAGCTTCCATGTGTCATTTTTCTCAATGGCATGAATTTCTTCATCCATTGCTTTCTTCCATTTGTTTTCTTGGATGGCTTCTAAGAAAGTAAGTGGATTATTATCTGCGAGTAGGCAGAACAAATTCAGATCTTCGTCTTCTGTAGCTTCATATATCTCTGGCAAATTTGTCATTGGTCTTGGTTGTTTGAAAAAACTATCATCTGATGATGATGATGATGATGCATCACTTCTGTGAAAAACTGGCGATCTAGGTGCAGGTATTCTATGTGGAGGAGTTTACGACTCATCTTGAACTTCTCTTGTGATTTCAACCGGAGCTTTTGATGTTTCATCTTCAAGAATGAGTTATGTATCTTTAACGTCGTCATCTTGATTCCAGTTCCAAGCTTCTTCTTCTTCAAATATCACATCTCTACTCATGATCATCTTTCTGGTAATGGGATTATACAACTTGTATCCCATTGTTCTGTCTCCATATTCGACAAGGATACATTTTTCTCCCTTATCATCGAGCTTGGTTCTTCTTGCTATTGGAATCTTGGTGTACGCAACACACCCAAATATTCTGAGATGGTTGACACTTGGCTTATGTGAACTCCAAGCTTCATCTGGAGTCATAGAGTGAAGGCTCCTAGTTGGGCATCTATTTAGTAGATACACAACACATGATACGGCTTCAATCCAAAATTGCTTGGGCAATCCTTTTCCTTCAACATGCTCCTTGCCATATCTAAGATTGTGTGATTCTTCCTTTCAGCAACACCATTAAGCTGTGGCATATAGGATGGTGTTGTTTAATGCTTGATTCCATGGTCTTTGCAATAATTCTCGAAAGCATCTGATGTATACTCTTCACCTTGATCTGACCGCAATGTCTTGATGTAGTAGCCGCTTTGCTTTTCTACAAAAGCTTTGAATTCTTTGAAGATACTGAATGTCTCTGACTTTCTTTTAAGAAAATACACCCATGTCTTCCAACTATAATCATCAATGAAGGTGAGAAAATATCTATTCTGTCCATTTGACATTGGCTTCAATGGACCACACACATCAGTGTGCACTAGCTCCAGCGCCTTTGTCGCTCTCCACTTCACTTCTTTGGCAAAGCTAGTTCTATGATGCTTGCCAAGAATGCAGCTTTCATAGACTTCATTAGTATGAGCAATATGAGGGAGTCTTTTCACCATATTCTTGCTTGACAACAACTTCAAGCTTCTAAAGTTCAGATGTCCAAACCTCAAATGCCATAGCCAGTCATTTTCTTTTATGATGGCACTAAAACACTTCGCAGCATCATGTTGGATGTTCAATGCAAACATCCGATTCTTAGACATTCTCACCCGAGCGATCAAATTAACATGATTGTCTTTGATGGTAAGATGACAATGTTTCAAGCTGATGTCGTATCCTTTCTCTAGGAGTTGTCCCATACTCAAAATGTTGTTCTTCATGGAAGGAACATAATAAACATTGGAGATGTAATCATGATCTCCATTCTTGAGCTTGATCAGAATATTGCCTCTTTCTTTCACTGGAGTCTTTGAAGAATCACCAAATGAGACTTGTGCTTGTACAGTCCCGTCAAGCTCGGCGAACAACTCTCTTTTAACACACATGTGATTAAAAGCTCCCGAATCTAGATACCAAACATTGTTTTGGTTTTCAGTATCTCCATGGTGGACAAACAGGACTGTAGGTCCGACTTTGTTTGTTTCCTGCTCGGCAAAATTTACTTACTCTCCGGCTTCTGTTGTTGCCCTACTTCGGCATTCATTGGTATAATGCCGAACTTGTGGCAATGGTAGCACTGAACATTGCTTTTGTCAAATTTGTAACCACCTCCTCTTCCTCTTGCTCTTCCTCTTGGAGCAAAATGTGGTTGACTTCTTCCTCCTCTGGTTGGTCCTCTTCTGCCTCTTCCTTGAAAACCAGAACTTCGGTTATTGTAACCACGGCCTCTTTCTCAACTTCTTTGTGATGTCCCCCCATTGCTCATTTCTGTCATCGCTAAAAGATAGCTTTGATGGAAGAGCTTGCTCTAGAGAACTTGAGGGAGTCTTCTTGTTGATCCTTTGTTCATGAATCTCAAGTGTGCCCATCAACTCATCGCTGGTCATGGCACTGAGATCCTTGGACTCTTTTATTGCTACAACCACATGCTCGAACTTGGGACTGAGTGATCGTAGAATCTTCTCTAGCACTTGAAGAGATTCCACTTTCTCTCCATATCTTCTCATCTAACTAACAATGGTCAATGTTTTGTTGAAGTACTCAAAAATTAGCTCATTCTCATGCATGTTCAGCATCTCAAATTCGCCATGTAACGCCTGGAGTCGAACTCTGATTGTCTTCTTAATTCCATGGTGTGAATTGCGAAGAATACTCCATGCCTCTTTAGAGGTTGTTGCTGCTGAAATCTTCTCAAAGCTTGACTGATCAATGCCTTGATAGAGTAGATACAAGACCCTTTTATCTCTCTTCCTTGAATCTTTTAACACCGTCTTCTGAGTTTCATTTAAATTTCCTTCGTCTTCGAGAGTAACAAGCTCATCATATCTTCGATCCACTAACTCCCACAAATCTTGTGAGGCTAGTAGGACTTACATTTGAATACTCTAATTTTCATAGTTGTTCTTGTTGAGTTTTGGAAACTGGGGTTGAAAGAAATTGTTTGTGTTGGCCATTAGTTGACTTTAAGAAATCTGTAAATTTTCAGTATGTAATTTGCAAATTTTGACCATACAGATGTATTCAGAATATTCTAAATAGTTGGAAAACACTATTGGATCACCAAAAATGGACTTCAAACGGTTTCGATCTAGCAAAAATAATTGAACGGTTCCGATTGGTTGAATCTGGAACTTTTGAGAAGCACCAGATAATCTCTTCAAATCAGATGACGTCAGCGATGTGTCGACATGTCTCTGCTCGGTCTGCAGCTTGGTGGCACGGCTCCGCTGTAGCTCGGCTCGGCTCGGCTCGGCTTGTGGCTCGGCTTAATGGCTCAGCTTGACGTTAGCAATGATGTCAGCTCCTGGATACAGATCCGGATCCGGGCTAGTGGATCGGATCATACATCGAACGGGTCAGACTCTGCAAATCCTAGCGAAGAAGACCCGTTGATGCGCGTGGGCGCGTTACTGCACGTGGTAGGGGTGTGCGTGGTGCGGTTCAGGCGGTTTGAGAGTAAAATTACAAACTGAATAGCGGGTTGGCGGATTAGCGGATTGACAAAATGCGGTTTGGGCGGTTTTTTACGGATTGGATTGAAGAATTTTGTAACTAATTATCATACATTTGCATAATATATAACACAAATTTGTATAATATTTTTTAGATATATAAGACAAAGTAATTTTACATAATATGTTTCATATATATAACTAATTTGTAATAAATTTCATATCTTAAATATCTCGCACACTCATTTTTACATTGATATTTCATTGGACGTTAAAAAATATATATGTATTAACTATAGCAGAGCAGAGCGGTTCAGTTGGCGGATTATAAATTTTAAAGTTTAAACCGCGGTTAGCGGTTAGAGCGGTGCAGATTGATGCGGATCGGTGTGGTTTTAGCGGATTGGGCGGTATTTTGCACAGCCCTAGCGCGTGGTGACGGTGTTGACGGCGCATGTGGCACGTGCGGGCTCTGTGGGACTCGATTTTCAACGTGGTTTTTTGCAGTGTGATCATCTCGATGAGACCTACACACTGGTGTGATCAAAAGTGCATTTCAACAACTTTGATTTCTGGGCAAGATTTGAAACGATACTCTGTTCTACTGTTTTTTTTTTTAAAAAAAAAAGAGGCCATTTTGGTGCTTTGATACCACTGTTGGTGAGAGTAGGGTGCAAACCACTTATGGTGGTTTAGAAAACAAATACAAGAGAGAGAATTCATAATCTGAAAACAGATTTATTTTACTCAAATATTTAGAATATACTGAAGAGAGGAAACACACTTTTACTCTCTAACTCTCTTCCTCTCCCACACCCTGAATTTTCAAAATACAATAGCTATATATAGATAAAACTAGTAATGTGAAACCATTAAATGCAAATATAGCTAAGGCTGTGAATTTTAAACGGTTGCAACCATTGTTGAAAAACTTGATTTGAGCCTCCATACTTATACTCTTAGGCCAATGGAAAAAAGTTTTTTTTTTTATTTTTTATTATAGGTGAAGCAAGATTACTTCACAACACTCATAAAGTTTACTCATTGTTATTATTTATTATTGTTATTATTTTTCTTTGCATGTAGGAAGTGATCAAGGAAGCATCAAATGATAAGAATGTGTGGGATGCGTTTTGCGGACTTCCCACCGTTTTGAATATTTTGAAATCGATGACGGAAGGTTTGCATAAATAAAGCTATTTATTGTCTTTTCTCCTCATTTATTTTTAAATTTTTTGATAACTTGTTAATATTATAATTGACCTCTTAAAAAATAAAAAGAACAAATTACTCCCGAAAGATGTTTGAAAATGCAATTAGCTCCTCCAGGAATTATTTTTTTTATTTTTTTTTAACCAAATTGCTTGAGCAAAAAATGTTCAAAACCAATTTTTTTGAAACATGTTTAAAAGTACATTTTTGTCTCATAAACAATTAATTAGCTCAAGAGAACATCACTATAGCTAAATTAAATTTCCAAGCAATTTGCTCCAACTAATCACTTTTGAACATTTTTTAAGAGTCAGTTTGTTCCAATTAATTACTTGGGGAACTGCACTTTTAAACATTTTTCTAGAAGTGTATTGTCAATTTCTTATTTTTTATTTTTAACTGGCACTATGAAAAGAATAAGAAGATTTGAAGTTAGGAATATCAATGAACCCCGATTATTGCATTGCTTCTAGGGTCTATTTTTTACTACAAGATCCCTCTAAAACACTACATAACTTTATTGCATTGAAATTGTTAAGATAATTGTATATATATATATACATAGAGAGAGAGAGAGAGAGAATATAATCTTTGTATATTGAATAATGTTATATATTATATTGTTCTATTGAACTATTACAAGATGTGATATATATATATATACATATAACAAACTATGAGAATAAGGAAACATATATAAATATGAAAACATAACAAATATGGAAAGTAAAATATTCTAGTTTTGCTTTAACAGCCCCCCAAACTCAAATAGGTAAACTAACTTGAGTTAAGAAGGACAAAACAAAAATAAATGAGAGTTTGCTGTTAGGGAAAACGAAAGAGTCTGCTAGGGGCAAACAAAAAGGCCTACTATAGGCAATGAAGAAGAGTTTGCTATTAGGGCAAATGATAAGGGCCTACTAGGGGCCTTGGGAGGCAACTGATGTGATGGGCCTTGAGAGGCTCTTGAACATGAATGGGTGTTGAACTAACAGACGTGACACACATGTAACTTATGACATAGTACTGAATAGTGATATATGAAAGAGTGCGCCATGACCGCGGCTTAAGTGGTGCGCCAAGGGGCGGCTTGGATGGTCCACACGATGTATTACCATGCTCACCATGATATAGGGATACTACCCCCTTCAAACTCGAATAGGTTTTAAGATAGAAACCTATTTGAGGTTGAAAGGGAGAGAACTAAGAGAGAGTGCAGACGGATAAAAAAATAAATAAATAAATTTTGATCCAAATTCAAGTCTATATTGAAGGAGTGGAAGATTGAGATTTAATGCCCATGGCGGAGATGGTGGTTGATTGGTTATTGGAGATTGGGATTAACACAGGTATGTGTTGAAACTCCAACGGGCAATGAAGGCAAGGTTACCAACCAGTCGCCTGCCGGTGAACCAAAAAGATAAGTCGGATCTTATAGCTCTAATGCCATGTTAAGATAATTGTATATATATATATATATATAGAGAGAGAGAGAGAGAGAGAGAGAGAAAATAGAATCTCTATATATTAAATAATGTTGTGTATTCTACTATTGTATTTAACTATTACAAGATGTGGCAAATATATAGTGTCACGACTCGAACTCGCCCTTATAGGTTTAGCAGCATAACCGGCCAGTAATCTGGGGATTACCGAAGGCCTCTGAACATATTAAACAAAATAGAAGGGGCTAGAGGAAGAAAATATCAAAAATATAATCGTCCAATGAGTTGTACTGACTAAAATGGAATAGAAACTTTAAACATTTACATACATATAACGTAACATCATCATTCTAAGCTCATAATATGCATTTAAACTCTTATTCTTCATGTATTCTCATATTTGATGACCTAGGTTCACAATTTAAGAGTTGAATTCATACCTAAAGTCTCCAAATTCTCTTGTTCTTGCACAACCTTGAGCATACAAATAATAATCTTCAAGCATTCCTTCAAATTTCCTTCAATTTCTTTTTTCTCACTCTAGAATGAGAGTTCTCTCTCTCTCTCTCTCTACAGAGCCTCTCTAGATTTTTCCACTCAAATGAAACATTCTTGAGTTCAAGAATGAGCTTAAGAGCCCATTTATAGTTGTAATGCTATAATACATTAATTGGAACATTAGGCTTGCCAAACACAACTTTATTAATCAGACTGAATCAATTTTTTAATTAAATTTTTCATAATGTTCTGAAAATTCTAATTGTCCATTCAAGTGGTCAATTTCGATTTATGACGTCATTTGGTCCATCAATTTTAATTTTCAAACAGAAATTCCAACAAATATTTTTCGAATCAAACATATATTCTTAACTTAATCACATGGCACGTGCCATAATTAAAATTTAACACATAATTAATTACTTATAATCATAATTAGCATTTCAGGGTCGTCACAATCTCCCCACCTTAAAAAGTTTGGTCCTCCAAACTTACGTCACCGTATATCAGATGCAAATCAGATGTCGTAGGTTCACAGTACACAACATTCCATAATTCTCAGTTTAAAGCAGTTATTTAATTCAGTGGTCCACCACAGTTATTCAAATCAATTAGAGGCCATCAGGTTGTCAAAGTGAATCTATGCATTACTCTCATAACAATCAATGTGATACCGAAATAGTTAGTCACATAATGTTCATAATTCTCATTTCCTGCAAAGTCAATCACATAATACTGTAATACCAAAGCAGTCAATCGCAGAACATACTTAATTCATATTCTTCCAAGTAATTTAGGTTCTACAATCAAATAGGTCACCGTTAGTAGTTCTCATAATGTCGAATCTGAATTTCAATAACAGAGAAGAAACCATTTTCTAAACAATCAATCTTATAAAACTATAGACAGTACCCAATTAATTATTTCTTAGTATAACACATGCGTTCCCAACCGGTCAGAGGTGTAAATCTAATTACTGTTCATAATCAATTAAGCTGCCACTAACGGTTCACATACAACTTTCGGACTAGGGTAAATGTTCATGTCATATTTGAGTTTCCTCATCTATCAGTTCCCTTAACCAATATAACCCAGCCATTCATTAATACGCAATTCATGATTCTTTATAAACAGATTCAATTCAAACATGAGTTTATCAATTCTCAAATCAAATACAAATTCATTAATTTTCATAGTCATCTCGAAATTATAGCATAATGGTTCATGTCGTTTCGGGTCATACCAAAATCGTCTTTGTAGGCATCGTGTTTTAAAAAGTCATGGTTCAGATATATACACAATAGTTTATATCGTAGTCAGTCATAGTAGGGTTCCATATCACAGTCAACCGTAGTAGGTTCCCATATCCGTTCATTCCCAACATAGTTTAAATTGTCATATATATAATCTTTCATTTGTAATTGCCCAGATACAGTGTAAAGACTAATCAATAGATTCCCATATTCACACAAATTCAAACATTTTCCCCTCACAACGTAGGTAAATTGTCAAACATAAGGTTTCAAAACATCGCACAAGTATTCATTAATTATAGTTTAACACCGCCAATTCTAATAGCATTGCGAGCAAAGATACATACATATATGAGTCCATAATCAATTATCATATAGGCATCCATTTATAAATTCATAAGCAAAAGTTCATTCTTCATAATTACCATAGGTTCCCAATTTTAGTAGTTCCACACGTGAATTAATCAAGTGTATAATATGAGTTCATGGTTCTAATTATTCAATGAGTTTAGCCAATAGATTAAAAGTTCATCCCATGCCATGGTTATACGGATTCCCAAATCAATTTTCATACATACATTTTGCACATAATCAATATAGTACCTGCGTCAGTCGTCTCAGGATTTCGGGTGTTTTCGAAACTAGGGTATAAGCACTTCCTTGTCTAAGATTATTTCCCTTAGAAGCAGCTGCATTCGTTCTTGGTGTCATCGCGAATCCAACCCCACTAACAATAGGTCTATTATCGTTTGGGCGAGCTTGTGGACAAGATTTGGCCAAGTGTCCCTTCTTTCTGCATCTAAAACAGGCTCCAGACAGACGACGACAATTACCCCAATGTTGTTCCCACATTCTCTACACGTAGGTATATCATTGTTCCCATTATTTTCCCGACTCATATTGCCAAAAGTTCTCGGATTTGACTTTTTATTCACAAAGGTCATCGAATTACTAGTCATTTCAACTTTCTGTTTCTTTTGTTTCTTACTCTCCCATACGGTTGGCGATGTTGACTTGGACATTTTCAAAGCTGCTATGTTAGCTTCAGACATTAAGGCTCTATCGAGAACGTCTGCATACTTTGACAATTTCAAAACACCAACTCTATCAAACACATCTAGGTCAAGCCCACTTTCAAATTTTTTGGCCTTTTTGTAGTCAATGTCTATCATGTGAGGTGCATATCAGGCTAGTTCAATAAATTTTGCCTCATATTTGGCCATAGTCATGTCACTTTGTTTTAGTTATTCGAATTCGGATACCTTCCTATCTCGGATGCATTGGGAAAAATATTTGTCATAGAAAATTTCTTTAAATCTATCCCATGTCATACCCTCATTATCATTTCGTACTAATATCCACCATCTCCTAGTTTTTTCTTTAAGTGTAAATGTGGCCAACATAACTTTTTGTATGTCAGTACATGGAAACACTTTAAATATCTTTTCAGTTTCAAGTATCCAAGACTCAGCTTTAAGCGGTTCAATACCTCCCAGAAATTCTGGCGGCTTCATTTTATTGTATTTCTGTATCAGAGTTGTCATGTCATTATTGATCGACTCAACTTGTACCGGAGATGGTGAAGGAGGTAAAGGTGATTGTCTTTGTTGCTGTTGTCTCACAGATTCAGTTAGGGTTTCAACTATTCTTTCTAGCTGATTAATTCTAGCATCGGAAGTTTCAGATTCATCCACGTTACTTGTTCTTTCCATTTCTCTATATTTTAACCAAAACAATAATAAACATAGGAAAGGTTCTCACAAATTTCAGTTTCATTTCAGTTCAGATATGTTTACATAGGTCATATTACTTTCGCAATCATATATTAACATTCACATGAATTACACATTCAATATCGAAATCAACATTACATGTTATTCCACATAACTTCTCTGTTCATACTCATAGATTTCATTTCCATTTTCTTATCAAACATGTACAGAAAAATTTACACATACTCACTCATGATAATGCAATGTCCCTATTGCTTTTCTAGGACACCCCATAGCTCATATGGACTTGTGTGTGTGGTATAACTCGTACTCTGATACCACTCTGTCACGACCCAAACTCACCCCTATAGGTTTAGCATCGTAACCGACTAGTAATCCTGGGATTACCGAAGGCCTCTAAACATATTAAACAAAATAGAAGGGGCTAGCGGAAGCAAATATCAAAAATATAATCGTCCAAAGAGTTGTGCTGACTTAAATGGAACAGAAACTTTAAACATTCACATACATATAACTTAACATCATCATTCTAAGCTCATAATATGCATTTAAACTCTAATTCTTCATGTATTCTCATATTTGATGACCTAGGTTCACAATTTGGGAGTTGAATTCTTACTTAGAGTCTCCAAATTCTCTTGTTCTTGCACAACCTTGAGCTTACGAATAATAATCTTCAAGTCTTCCTTCAAATTTCCTTCAATTTCTTCTTTCTCACTCTAGAATGAGAGTTCTCTCTCTCTCTACAAAGCCTCTCCAAATTTTTCTACTCAAATGAAACATTCTTGAGTTGAAGAACGAGCTTAAGAGCCCATTTATAATTGTAACGTTATAATACATTAATTGGAATATTAGGCTTGCCAAGCACAACTTAATTAATCAGATTGAATCAATTTTGTAATTAAATTTTCCATAATGTTTTGAAAATTCTAATTAGTCCATTCAAATGGTCAATTTCGGTTTCTGACGTCATTTGGTCCATCAATTTTTATTTTTGAATAGAAATTCCAGCAAATATTTTTTTGAATCAAACAGATATTCTTAACTTAATCACATGGCACATGTCATAATTAAAATTTAACACATAATTAATTACTTATAATCATAATTAGCATTTCGGGGTCGTCACATATAGGACTTATGCAAGTGTTAATTAAGAAACCTTGAGAATAAGGAAACATATGAAAGTATGAAAATTTGGCTAATATGAAAAGTAATATATTCTAGATATCTACAACAAAATATATTCTAGATATACTTTAACAAAAATATTGTATGACTATGCTATAGATCTCCCTATTATCTTGGAGCAAGAGGTAAGAGTTGTTATATTTTGCTGATGATAATAAAGGAACAATTTTGTTCGTAGAACTAGAAGGTTGTGAGATAGCTCAGTCCATATTCGGTGTGGGCGTTAGAGCATTGAGAGGACCTTTGCGCTCAAAATGCCTCCTAAGCCCCAACCCACTTTGTTTGTGTACAGGAACAACTACTAAGAGCAGCCAGCTAACTGTCCCTTTCCGCACCGCCTTTCTTCGTTGTGTTTTGAACCCCAAACTCATTCAACACGATAGAGTAATGTATTATAACGTTACAATTAATGTATAAACTGAAAAAATTGAAGGAGTTCTAATAAATAAACTGATAATGTTTTCAGTTTTAAAACTGAAAAAATTAATAACGTTCTCAGTCTTATTATATAGTTGAATTAAACTAATAAGCAGAAGAACAAAAACGTTTAATCTCATGCTCTTTCTTTTTTTCTTTTAGTTAGTAAAACAATTATTTACAATATTACTATTTAAAATTAATAATATTCTTAGTTTTAAAAATTGGAAAAAACTGATAACATTCTCAGTTTTATTAAATATGACTTATTGATTCAAAAAAAATTTAAATAGGACCTGAGCTATTATAACATTTGTAAATAAGACTTTTAGGTAATTAACTCTTTATTTTTTTGCACGTCTTTTTACAAAAAAAAGTATAAAATTAATTAAAATAATTAATTCTCAAAATGATCAATAATATCTTATGGGGTAATTGCACACCAATGGGATTTTAAAAAATACACTATATATTTATTAAAAAATATACTATATATTTATAATTATATTTATTAATTTATAACTATTTTTCTAACATTAGACTGATTTGATATTTTTCAATATTTTATCCATCGTTCATGTATTTGTACAAATACTAATCACATGATGGTACATCAGATGGTTTCGACAGAGCAAAGACAACACTCAGCAAGCTCGCTTCAAATTCTGGTAAGGTTTGGCAATTGATTTAATTTTTTTTTTTTATTAGTCTCTTTTGAGAATTTAGTTTTTTTTTAAGTATAATTATTATGCTTCAAAATATTAAAAATAAAGCCACTTAACTTTTAAAGTACAAAGTAGTTGTCTCGAGACTTGAACCCATAACCTTAAGGTTATTAAGCCAAGATTTTACCATTGATAGTACAAGTATTATACGTCAAAAATATTAATGTTACGTTGTATTTGGATGGAGGATTTGAAAAGGGAAAGGAAAAAGATAAGTGAAATGTAAATAAAATATACCTACATTTCATCTAATTTCACACACCTTTTTTCTTTTCCTTTCTAAATTTCTTTCCAAATCCTACAATCAAACACAATGTTAATGAATTTAATAGGTCAAAATAGGAAATTGATGTTATTTTAGTTCTTGATTTTTGAAAAAATACTAATATTTTGAGATAATAAAAAATAGAATGAGAGAGTAAATTTTTTTATTTTTTGAATTAAAAAAAGGTAATGTGTTGGATAATTGCTAAAGAAATATTTAGGATTGTTTGGGATTTGCATATTTAGTGTACATTTTAACTTTTTATAAATAAATAAAAAAAATAGAAATGTCATATGACCGAAATAAGTACACCATGCATTCCCAAATACCTTAACTTTTTTTCTTTTAAAGAGAGTTTTACGATTTTTTTCTACTTACTAGCATGCAAAGCAGTAAGGAAATTTTGAAATTTAAAACAAAATCCATTACAACAGTATAGAGCTCGTTTGAGATGTGAGTTGGTTTTTTTAATTTAACTTTTTGGTTATTTTAACTTGGGGCTAAAAAGCCTAATTTGGGATAGACTTTTTGACTTTTATAAGAGAAAAAATGAAATAGTTATGAATTAGATGTGACATTTTGTCTTATTTAGCTAAAATAACATATGTTGTTTCATGTGGCTATTTTAGCCCAAACCTTCTGTGTTTGTTTGTGAATTAATTTGTCTCGTGAATTATTTGTTTGTTTGTATAACACTAATTTTGTACTATTGTGTTACCAATTTGTGACATATGCCACAATTTTTTGAATGTACCAGAGAAGCCAAAGCTGCGGTGGGAATATATCTTTTCAACTTTGTCAGGGTGGGGGGAAGCCATATGGAAGTTCATGAAGCAAATGTTTGAGCGAATTCACAGTGGTATAAAAGGAACCATCAAAGTCATGAAAGATTCTGGGCATCAATTAAAATCTCTTTTTGTGTCATTTTTCACTTCCATTGTGGCGATGTTTGGTGTGTTAGTGGACCGCCTTGCCCAGCAGGCAACAATGATATGAGCATACAAATCATATATTGAATTGGAGGCAAAGAAAGTGCGTGGATGGACAACATTTTACAAGGTTTAGATTTATTGGAGTTCTCACTTTTCAAAAATCCTTGCTATTATTTTGTTATTGTTGTTGTTGTTTGTTGTTTGTTTTTTTTTTTTGGTTGTTTTTTTTTATGTTTGATTGTGTGTTAGTTTTAGTATTTCTAAATTTGATGGTGTGTAATGTTAACTTGCGATGCAAATAATATATATAATAAATTGATACTTATTACTATAGATGTTTGAGATTTTTTTATTTGATGGGTTTTTTTTTTTTTTTTTTTTTTTTTTCTTTTTTTTGTTTTTTATTAACTTTTTTTTTTTACTTGTTTTCGTCTTTAATCAACTTTTTTTCACATACTTTTAAAAAAAAATTAGACTTCTAAGTTCACCAATATGCTTATACATTTCAATAAATGGCATAGAACACTTATTACTCGAAAATTTTCATTTTGCATCATGGTATCACACAATTCTAAATTGTCAAAACAATTCAAATTGGTGTTATTGTAGGATCCTAAGTAGGATCACATGGGATAATGTAAAATTTGCATTTTTATCTTATTTTAATAGAAAGTTAAATCTTACAATTCTCGATTCGATACTATAATTCAATCCATGAGACATTCTCACCAATCTTATGTAAAATTTTGATTTTGACAATCATCTAATACAAGATTGTTAAAATTAGAACCGCATGTGAGATCTTTGGGATAAAAAAAAAAAAAAAAATACTTTAACAAGCACAATTCCCACAACTTTTTTCACAACGTTGTATAAAAAAATTTATTTAGTAATTTACTAAAACTAATTTAACTTTTTTTTAATGTACATATCTTACCCTTTGAACAAAATTTCTGATTTAACCCTTACTACCATGATCAATTCTCGAGTTGTTCCCATACATGTGACCCGCTATCACATAGCAATACATTTAAGTCATGATTTCATAACCTTCTTTTTGGGTAAATTATACTTTACACCCCTTGTATTTTTTATTAAATTTTATTTTGATTTCTACATATGAAATCATAGCAGTCAATTCCTGCACTTCTAATTAAATTTCACTTTGATCGCTATACATAAAATCATGACAGTCAATCTTCTGCACTTTTGGTTAAGTGTTAATATCATCCATCTTTTTTTTTTTTTTGATTAGCAAAGAGAAATTTCATTTAATAGCATGAAATTAAAGGTACAGGAAGATAACATGCATCGAGAGAGATTCAGAAGTATAAAAATACCCTTACTACTGCTACTCGCATCCATACAACCAAACCCTAAGCCTCTTGATTTTTTAAACAAAAAAGTTAAAAAGAACTTAACTAGAAAATTAAAATACATGAATCCCCACATATTCAACCCACCAAAACACCTAATACAAACTAAATGAACTACCCTGCACCCAAACTAAACTAAATTAACTAAACCAGCCCCGGGAACAACACCAACACCTCTGCCAAGTCCACTCCTCTGACGCTGCTGCAAGAACAAGACAGGCCTCTGCAGCTTCAACCACCCTCTCCTAGCTGCTGCCCACGCCACCTCTAGGCTGCTGCAACTCCATAGCTACTACCCACTCCACCAACAAGCCACGCTTCTGCTGAGAAGACTCCAAAAACCACCGCCGGGAACAACACCCACTGCCGACAGAACTACACCCCGGCAGCAACACCCACTGCCTACACAACAACACCTACTGCCGGAGACACCCACATAGCATCTCCCACCAGATCTTCTTCTTGCTCACACCCAATCCCCACGCCTTAACCTGTGCTGCAGCCCACAAAAAAATAACTACACCTCCTCTTCTACATCAGGTCCTCTTCTTTCTTGCACCCAATACCCACTGCCAAGCACCAAAACCAACAGGTCTTCAATCACACGCCGCGGATCCGCACACCCACCGAGCACCGACCACCTACTAGGACACCTCCAAACATAGGTAGAAACTCACCCCTCAAACTCTTACTCGAGGAGGAGCGCTCGAGTGACAACCGGACAGAACTGGATCGCACCCCTCAAGCTCCAACTCGCCAAAAGCGCTCGAGTGAAATACCTGGAAGCCCCTGCTGAAACAGCTACTGCAGCAAGGTTGAAGCAGACGAGGACAAACTGAAGACAAAGCCTGGACACACTAACCACTAACCCACAGCAACGAAGCACACCAAGGAGGGATGAAAACGGGGGACTCAAGTTTATTGAAATGAAAAAACTGACAAGGCAAAGGAAAAGAACAAGCTAGGCCAGCCGACCGCCATCGCCAAAGGCGGCGGCCAGCCGGCCCAAAAAGAGGCCGGAGATGGAGGTTTTCAGAAAAAGAAAAGAGAGGTTTTTAGAGAGAGAGAGAGAGGTTTTGAAAAGTCTGTATAGTATTCTACTGTAGAAGTTTTTATCAAAAGTCAGTAATGTAACAAGCATATGACTATAAAATGACGACAAAAGAGTAACATTACCCAAATTTTCCGTCTATACACATTTCATCCCAAAATTTATATTGAATTTTAACTGTATTCGGTTAAAACAAAATGCAGATTATAAACGATTAAAGAGAAGAACTAATGTTTTGCAAAAACGATTAAAGAGAAGAACTACTGTTTGTTGTTGATCATTTTATCCTGTGAGATAGACGTCCACAATCTGAAAACACCATGGAGAGGACGAATCTGTCTTAAAGACACAGTGTTAAACAATGGACTAGATCAAACAAATTTGTTCGAGAAATTAATAAGGTAAGTAATTAATTTACTTTCAATTTTAATTATTTTTCCTTTTTCAGATTCTGATTTTGTTTTCGTAACAAAATAAGAATCTATTTTCATTTATTTATTTTTATATATTGTTTTGATTTTTGTAAACAAACAATCTCTCTTCTCTCATTAATACATTCTTCGAATACAGTAAAGATTATCTTTTTGGGCCAAAAAGTGTTTGAATTTTATTTTTTCTAAAATTAAAATTCTTACACTTTTTGGAATTTAAAATTCAAATTTAATTCCAAAATACTGTCCAGATTTTACCTCCACCAAACAGGTTTTTATCTCTTTAAATTTAAATTGAACAAATTTAGCATCTGTTCAAAATTCAAACCCAAACAGTGGCTTACCTATTCATTCAAACCGACTAGGTCTTGTACCTGTTCATTCAAATCTGAACAACCATTATTCCATCTATAAATAGGCAGTTCCTCATTTGAATTTTGCACTTTAATTTTCGTTCTTGTATCCTACTGTTGCTCTTCACATTTTGCTACATTAATTTTCTATGTGAAAGTGTATAAACACAAAGTGTGTTCGTTGTACAAACAATTTGTAGTGCTGTTACTGTTTGTTGTTGATCATTTCATCCTGTGAGATAGACGTCCACAATCTGAAAGCACCATGCAGAGGACGAATCTGTCTTAAGGACACAGTGTTAAACAATGGACTTGATCAAACAAATTTGTTCGAGAAATTAATAAGGTAAGTAATTAATTTACTTTCAATTTTAATTATTTTTCCTTTCTCAGATTCTGATTTTGTTTTCGTAAAAAATAAGAATCTATTTTGAATTATTTATTTTCATATATTGTTTTCATTTTTGTAAACAAACAATCTCTCTTCCCTCTTTAATCCATTCTTCGAATACAGTAAAGATTATCTTTTTGGGCCAAAAAGTGTATGAATTTTATTTTTTCTAAAATTAAAATTCTTACATTTTTTGGAATTTAAAATTCAAATTTAATTCCAATATACTGTCCAGATTTTTCCTCCACCAAATAGGTTTTTATCTGTTTAACTTTAAATTGAACAAATTTAGCATCTGTTCAAAATTCAAACCCAAACAGTGGCTTACCTGTTCATTCAAACCGAATAGGTCTTGTACCTGTTCATTCAAATCTGAACAACCATTATTCCATCTATAAATAGGCAGTTCCTCATTTGAATTTTGCACTCTAATTTTCGTTTTTGTTTCCTACTGTTGCCCTTTGCATTTTGCTACATTAATTTTCTGTGAGAAAGTATATAAACACAAAGTGTGTTCGTTGTACAAACAGTTTGTAGTGCTGCTACTGTTTGTTGTTGATCATTTTATCCTGTGAGATAGACGTCCACAATCTGAAAGCACCATGGAGAGGACGAATCTATCTTAAGGACACAGTGTTAAACAATGAACTTGATCAAACAAATTTGTTCGAGAAATTAATAAGGTAAGTAATTAATTTACTTTCAATTTTAATTATTTTTCCTTTTTCAGATTCTGATTTTGTTTTCGTAACAAAATAAGAATCTATTCTGATTTATTTATTTTTATATATTGTTTTGATTTTTGTAAACAAACAATCTCTCTTCTCTCTTTAATCCATTCTTCGAATACAGTAAAGATTATCTTTTTGGGCCAAAAAGTGTTTGAATTTTATTTTTTCTAAAATTAAAATTCTTACATTTTTTGGAATTTAAAATTCAAATTTAATTCCAAAATACTGTCCAGATTTTACCTCCACCAAACAGGTTTTTATCTCTTTAAATTTAAATTGAACAAATTTAGCATCTGTTCAAAATTCAAACCCAAACAGTGGTTTACCTGTTCATTCAAACCGAATAGGTCTTGTACCTGTTCATTCAAATATGAACAACCATTATTCCATCTATAAATAGGCAGTTCCTCATTCGAATTTGGCACTCTAATTTTCGTTCTTCTTTCTTATTATTGCTCTTTGCATTTTGCTACATTAATTTTCTGTGAGAAAGTGTATAAACACAAAGTGTGTTCGTTGTACAAACAGTTTGTAGTGCTGCTACTGTTTGTTGTTGATCATTTTATCCTGTGAGATAGACGTCCACAATCTGAAAGCACCATGCAGAGGACGAACCTGTCTTAAGGACACAGTGTTAAACAGTGGACTTGATCAAACAAATTTGTTCGAGAAATTAATATGGTAAGTTATTAATTTACTTTCAAATTTAATTATTTTTCCTTTCTCAGATT